ATTTCCTAAACATTTTGCTTGTTCCAAAGTTCCACTGGGTCATACAGGCTATACAGTCAGGGGAGCTAAAGCTGCTGGTGCAGGCATGCCACAGGTTAGCACAGTGCTCTGAAAGCTGACCCTCATCCACAGCTCAGAATATCTGATGAACAGGTCAAAGAAAGCTGCTTTTTTTTCCTCAGATCTGTGATGTTCTTGTGGATAAAAAGGTAGCATGAATTCCTTCTTCCATATCCTGCTGCAAAGGCCTCTGGAAACACAAATAGGCAGTGACAGTACTAGCTGGCAGGTGTGCAGTGGGCTGAATGATGAAGTCCATGATAAAGGAGCTCCTGGGTGTGCAATCCCTGTGAGTCTGCTTCATTCCTATCATAAGCATTAGCCATAGCATAGGAAAGAGGCTCCCAATTTGTGATTTAGCTGCTGAGATGGCAGAGCGAATTTAAATTGTTTCCAGCTGAGTTCATTGCTGCCAAGATAACTCCTCTTTACCCATAAAGGAGATTACAAGATTTCATGTTTTGTGCTACAGATGGATTGGATAGATAACCTTAGAGGTCAGGGTATCAGGAAGCATTTGTGAGAGCCAAGAATGACCAACTTTACATATTATGCTGAAGAACTTTTTTGTAACAGGAGGATATGGCTCTGACCTTACAGTGGAAGATAACTTCTTAGGTGATACATGATACCTTGAGAAATCAAAAGTACTGCTGAAGGTGACTATTGAGAAAAGTCATACACATTGGGTACTAGAGAGTATAAAAGAGAAACATAACCTCTGGTCATTGTCATGGGGGACCTCAATTTGGTTAGCTAAGGCTGGGCCACATATTAGTGTTTCAGTACTAAGGAAGCATTTTAATACAAATGACAGAAGAATGCAGAAGGTGACAGAAAAGGCTTTTGATACTGATGAGTGTCATTGTGGTCAAGAGGGCTGGTATTTTTCCTTATCCTTTTCCTTATTTTGGCTTGAATTCTCAGTGAACCCTGTGTAAAGATAGAGATGCCTGGATCTGTTACTTAGATGGTTCCATGGGAGGTAGGATCAATGGAGAGCTTATCAATACAGTTAGTGGAGACCAGAGAACTGCTCATCAGTTATTAATTTGGTCAAATATTGGTATGGATTAAAGGGTGAGCTGAACAGTTCTATAGATTCTATCAGCTAAATAGCTAGACCTCCATTATATATAGTGGCAGTATACAAATTTAGTTTGTATGTTTGTACTTACTTTAGGTACCTTAATCTGCAAAGTAAATTTCTCTCCCAAAAGATTAATAAAGATTAAAGCTGCTTTCACTACTGCTGCACCATCCAATATCAAGAATACTTTACTCTCCTATGTAAATGCTTTCTTTTGTAAAAGCTCACAAACCAACACCAAAATTATTCCATCATAAAACCTTGTGCTGCTTGCCACTCTGATTCTGAGATTTTACAACTTAGAGCTCAGAGGGTTTTGACTGAATGCAAACCTTTAGCATTGCTGAGTGTCCATAATTATACATGTCTCCATGGTAACCACGGGAGAGAAAGTATGGCTGTATAATCCTTCTTAAGTAATACAATGTTATATTTTTATTGGTAGACAAAGAGATTCTAGCTAGTCAGAAGCATGTTAGGCAGCCTGAGAATATCAAAGTTGCACATATACTCCTTATCAGCAGAATGGAAATTGTTTTAGCAAAATTTAAATGTGTGTTGGTACCACAGGAATATAAATACAAACTTTTTGGAGCTTCTGTTTTAAGTAAATCTGGGCAAACTAACTTCAGATTAATCATTTTGGTAAATTTTCCTTTCTCTTAATCTTATAGTTTAATAGAAAAGTCTTAACTAATGATGGCAGTCTGGTTGCTTGCCAGAAAAAGGGCTAGATTATTTCCTGACTAACCAAAATGGAATTTACATGATTTTAATGTGCTGTATTCCTGTGTGATAGGCTGAACTTGCTCATTTAAATGTTTTAGTGCAGTGTAAATGATTCCAGAACCATCACGAAATTGATGATACTGCTGTATTTTTAAGTAGGTTTTTTTTTTTTCTTGTTTTCTCATTCCTTTAATTATTTTTGGTTAGAAAAAATACAGGCTGTTTTAGACAATGTTATGACTGACATTTAAAAACCAAAAGTATCTGGACACCATTTTTGTTTTATAATTTTCAGCCTTCATCCTCTGAATCTTGGTAAAAACTGCAGGAACTGTAAAACTGTTGTCATATTGACAAGAAACAGCAGAAGTTGCACACTTCTGCAAGCAAAATTTAACCCAAGGCACACTTTGGCACTGATGCTTAAATAAAACAAGCTTTGTATGACTAATCCCTCTAGCATTCAGGGTCTGTAGAGGTACATATGTGGATAGAAAATAGGTGTACCAGAAGAGGCACAAACTTGAAGAACAAAAGCTATTTTGCTGAATAAGAGAAAGAAAAAAGAAATACATTTATATCACAGGCAAATTTGTTTCTAAAGGGAAAATCTTTTTTTCCAGTTTTCCATGAGTTCTCAGCAGCTTCCTAATGGGACATAAAAACTGGAGAAGGAATGCAAGCATAGATTTTGATCCCACAGCATTTTTTTTCTCCTACTGTTGGCCCACAGAAATTTGGCATCTGTGGTTCCCAGCCATGAAAGTAATCCATTGAGCGGAAATTTGCTTCTTTTCTGTTCTTTTTTTCCTTCCCATCTACAAGATATATTTGGTGTTTTGATGTCCTTCACAATGGCAGAGACTAATTATGCTTAGCATAGTTTCTATTTAAAGAAATAAGACAGTGAGTCTTCAAGCTAGGATTTTCTGACAACATTACTCTGAATGGTTTTTTCCTTTTTTTTAATCTATCTTCACTCAGCCTTAGGGGGCAGGGGGTAGGGAGACAAGATAATTAAATAAATTTACAGTATTTTGCCCAATGATTTCATTATGAATTCAATAAAGATAAGAATGAGGCTCTAGGTTCTGAAGAATTTAATCATGAGAAGTCTCTCATGGTAAAACCTTCATTGTAAACAGGGAAAGGTCCAGTGCCAAGATATGCAGCCTGCATGTATTGTCCCATTCCTGGGTACATTCATAACACATAGTCATGGAACCAGAATAGTCTAGTCTGGTGATGTGCCTTTTGCCAGCAATTTATCTTTGAAAGGAAAAGGCTATTCTGATAAATTAAATATTCCTGTGCCAGATCCAGAGCTAGTTGCGTTGCTCTCATTTTACATGCTGTCCTGGCAGTGCCACAGTAGGTTTCAGTATGTGAAGTTCACTGGCTCAGTAACTGTGATTACAGAAAACAAAACCTACAGAAGTTTAAGGCTATTTAATAATAAATATGAAAGCCTTAAGTAGTTTTACAAATACAATTAGAAATATACTTTTAAATTTGTGGGACCTTTGTGCAGTTCTAGTGGGCTGCATGGGCTGGATGTCATTAAATTAAAATCTCTAAGAAACCTGTGGATCTAGAATTCTGTGCGTAGGAGAGAGTGAGCTGGATGCAATTCAAGTATCATCCTTCAACAAACACTTAAAAAACTTGTATAAAAGTACCCATGAAGGCTTTTTTGCTCTTCTTCTTCATGGAGTCTGGCTTCTGGAAGAGAAATCAATTATGGAGAACATACCATTAACATAGGATGGAGGAAGAGACCTTGGAAACAAAGGGTATGTCCACACCTACATGCCTTAACCTGCTACAGGATTCCCACATCTACACAGCTAGAGAAGAATTGTGGCTATAGGTGCTGTAGCAGTCAATGTTGAAACTTGCAATAGATTCCATTTTGTCAGCAGAATAATTGATGAAAATTCCATCCAGACATCCCAGTTTATTCACCTCCTGGCTTGGAGTTACCACGGGGTGGGAGGGAAGTTTCCAGTTAAAGTGCCACAAAGCTCAGACATGTTGTTTGGTGGACAACAGCGTGTCAGTAACGCTGTGTGGTGTGTGCTTAACCTGTGATGCCCTGGGAACTGCATCTGGAAAATAACTGGGTTTATTTGGGTCTTTTCCCATATGCTGCACCATCATGTTAGAGATCTGGGGAAGTACTTAAGTGACATTCCTCACAATTTCTAAAGAAAACTCTATGAAATATTATTTTCATGGTTCACTGTAAAATTTGGAATTGCTGATTAGCCACAATAGAATTTGTTAACCTTACAGGTTTGGCACAATGCCCTTTGTTTTCCCTTATTTGAAAGGTGGTGGGGAAAACAACTTAAAATAAAGATTAAACATTATTTTTTATTTGGGTCACTCTATAATGCTTATTTTTTTCAACAGTTTAAATGTTTTTAGTGATGTAGCTATATGTACTATGCCATAGAGGATGTATGATTTAACTGTAATAATGAGATTTTTATTTGGGGTTTTTTACTCTGAAGACAGCTAAGAAAAATCTCTGAGCTTCCCAAAACCACTCTTTCCAAAGAAACCACAATGTTACAGAGCCCTTTCATCATGCAGCATACAGTACTGTATGCACAAAAATATACACTGTACTACTTTAAATTAATTCATATTTGCAGGAGACACAGTCTGTGTGAGTATGTGCAATTATGAAATGCAACTTTTTTTTTTCCTCTTGACATTTTTAGCTGCCTCACCCCTTTTATTTGAACACATACATATGGTGTGTGAGAGTGAGCAAGCTCTCTGTAAATGTTTGGAAGGAGCATCTGTCAGACAATAAAACTTACAAGAAAACATGTTTCTCATTTAAAGAGTATTCACTAGAACTATTTCAGTGTTGGAATCAGTTCATTTGTATAGCTTGGAGGCATTAATAAGAGCAGAGAACTGTAAAGGCACCAGAAAACTCAAACTGTTACTAAGAATCCAAGGTATTTTTAAAAAGCATTTTGTCTTTTCGGCATCTCAGTCTTCTGATAAGGAATCTGAACCAGCTGACAGACAGGAAACCTCTGCTAGTCTATCCAGAGGGATTGCAAACAAGAAGATGGCATGATTTTTGCAAACCTGGAAAGTCTAAAGATTGCAATAATTGTTGGACCAAAGGGACCCTCTTCAGGCATAAATAGCAAGACTCCTACTGTCTTCTCTTGCAGACCAACTCAGCTGCCAGCAAAAGCAGGTGCTCTCCCCCTACCAGTGCTCCAGAGGAATATTTAGTGAGTATTCATAGCTATTTTTGCAAACTAATATATTACTAGTGATTTACTTAAGTTTGTATAGTTTTCTCAAAGGACAAAGACATTTAAAAATCAGTTTTTAAGGCTGTTATTTTAAACAGTTGGTTTAACAGTCTGATGCAATTACCATGTTAGTTTAAAAACAAAATTTGCACAACCTATGACAGTAACTTTAAAAAAGTACTGATTTTTAAAAAAAGTGTAGTTTAAACAATCTCAATGAATTACAGTGTTTTAAATTCATATTATGACAGTAAAGTAATTTATATAAATATGAAATGTATTTGATTTTAAATGTTATGCTATAAAACAGCCTTTGTAGAACATAAATTTAAAATAAATCATTTCTTTTGGCAAAGTAACCTGCAATTTAATCTTTAGAAGAATAAATATACCACTAATGTTTTCCACAGAAACAGTTGCTACTCTAATTAAATCAAGATGTGACTCTAATCAGATTTCAAAAGAAAATCAGAAACAGATTTTTCTCTGAGGTAGTACTATGAACAAGAATAAGATATTTTTATTTTCATTTTCATTAGAAACACTTGTGCCAGGTAAAGTTACAGGTTTGTAGTATATAGCATGGAAATAACAAATCTGAAAGCATTATAGTAATGTTTTTCAGAAGCATAGCAAATTTTAGTGCTTCAGATATCTGCTTTCTCTTTGGTTATAACTTATGCCACATTACATTTTATTAGGTAACTGTTATAATTTTTGAGTTTTAAATGACGAATATGGTAACACTTTTTTTTCTTTCTTTTTGTGTGGAAGGGAATGGAAAACTTGATGTTTGTCTACTGCTCCTGTAAAGTTCTCTGGACAGTACTTGTAACAATGCTGGGTTATGCCAGCAGCCTGCCTGTGGGGGAGGATGCTCTTTGCACAGCAGAGGAACTTGCTAAGTACAGGATAATCTTCACAGGGAAATGGAGTCAAATTGCTTTCCCTAAGCAGTATCCACTCTATAGGCCCCCAGCACAGTGGTCATCCTTGCTAGGTAAGTGAAGTATGAACAGTTTCAAGAGCAGATAAGCCTTTTGACCTCTGTGGTCTTTTTTTCATTTATAGTTATGTAAGATAAGCAATGAAAAAGGGGCAAAAAAAAGCACCAAATTTATTAAGAATGAAATGCAGATATTGAAGTATCCACAATGTCTTCAAAAATTTATGACTGTTTTCAATTTACTTGTGTTTTCAATTGGCTGCAGCTGAAAGAAGCAGTGATACACCAAATGTTTTAGTGTTCACTCAATTTTATACACTTTTTTTTTAACCTCAGAAATAAAACAGAGAAAATGAAGAAATAGGGACATTCTAAATCAGACTTTTATATCATGCCATGTATTCACTCAAATAGGTGTTACTCATAGTTCTGACTACAGCATGTGGAAAAAAAATGAATATGCCAGCAATGGTGTACGTGATTTTGCTGAAAAGGGTGAAGCATGGGCATTAATGAAAGAAATAGAAGAAGCTGGAGAAAAAATTCAGAGTGTACATGGAATCTTCTCTGCTCCTGCAATTTCCAGTGGTACAGGACAAACCTCTACTGAATTAGAAGTGCATCCAAGACATCCCTTAGTAAGTAAATGTACATATTCATTTAGAAAGTTTATTTTATGTTACCAGCAACCAAAATTAAATATTTGAGTTCCCACTTGTAGGAACAATATAATGAAAAAGAGTTACTAAAAAGTGTGTCACGTTGCAAGGAGCACTGTACAGCTTCTATAAAGTAGAAGAGCAAAATGGCATTTTTTCAAGAACTTTGAGTGAAAATCACTATAAGCAGGACTGAAGCATTCCAAAGCAGGTGATGCAATCCTGATGGATCATTTTGTTTCATTAGGTTTCATTTGTTGTACGAATTGTTCCAAGCCCTGACTGGTTTGTGGGTATTGACAGCCTAAATCTCTGTGAAGGAGACCACTGGATGGATGAAGTCTCAGTAGATCTATTTCCATATGATGCTGGAACTGACAGTGGATTCACATTTTCCTCTCCAAACTTTGCCACTATTCCACAGGACACAGTTACAGAGGTAGGTGCATAGACATAGTTTAGCACTTCATACTGATATGTTTTGAGTCTTCCCTTTAAAAGGTAATTATTCTAAAATTATGAAACTGATTTCACTATTTAAGAGTGCTGATGCTCTCTATATATGGATTTATTATACAGCTGATAAACCTACTGTTTTATCTTCTGAATCTTTGAAATTTATTAGGTAAATGTAAATGGTTCATGAGAATTTGTCTCTACGTTTTCTGGAAAAGCTGGAAAAAATTTAAGATGATATTTAACAGTCCTTAAAGTGCCAGGAAAATGAAAATACTCACAAAAGTCCTGACACCACCCAATGTGAATCTAACCATGAAAATTCTTAGTAGTGAATACTGCTGTGAGGAGGAGTTTTCAGTTGAAAGCACTGCTGAAACCTGAAACTGTTACATTTGAGAGAGAGAACCTAAAGGAAAGCAGAGAACTTCACTGTGGTGACACTGCTTTTAATCTCTTTTGCTCGTTTCATCCTCTCTATGCCTCATACTTTGCCTTTGCCATTTAAGAGTGGTGGCAAATGAAGGATTTTGATTCAAGTGTTTTGAATACTGTAAGTGTTCACTTAATCCTTTCTTAAAGGTGAGTTTTTCAGGCAACAAATGCTGTGCTAATGAGTAATGAGGAAAGGAAGAGAGAAGCATTTGGCCTCTCATATCCATATGACAGCTCCTATTGCATACCTAATATTATTGTTTAATACTCTGTGTTCTTCTTTTAATAATGTCCAATTCTTTTTATCAAATAATTTCATACATTACTGTGTTGGCAGGACCTCCTACCACACCCTTGTATCCAGTCAAGTATCCTGCATTAAAAGTTCTGGGATGACCAGCATAGTTATGAGGTTCATAGAAACTGGTTTTATGCAAATTATTTGCCAAAAAGTATTAGCGTGATTTATAAACATGATTTTACACCTACCTTCTTATTCTTTTAATATTCCTCTTTTTATTTCACAGATCACTTGTTCCTCTCCAAGTCACCCAGCAAACTCATTTTATTATCCCAAACTCAAAATTTTGCCACCTATTGCTCAAGTAACAATGGTGAAAATAAAGAAAAGCCAGCCAGGTCTTTCTGCACCTTTTATTAATCTTCCAGCTAAAAGCAATGAAATAATAGACATTGTCTCAGGTAAGTGATTAGTAGATGTTCTCAATTCTGGTATTTCCATTCACTCAGAAGCATGCAGAAATCTGGCAGGTGATGTGGATGAAACAGGTGATCAGGCAGAATATTCTCCTGTCTGCATAGGAGTAGTTGCTGGCTCACAAATGGGAAATAAAACAAGCCAGTCAACATAAAAGAGAATTCCTGAAAGAATAAGTGAGGGATTGCATATTTCAGCTGTGGTTCAAAGGACTGGGCTATATCCACAGTAAGAGCTAACCAATCCTTTGTGTCAGTGTAGCTCAGTGAATTTTATAAGAAACAAATGGCACTCAATCAGCATTCCCAAGTTCTTTGCAACTTTGAAGTAAATATTCATCCTTAAGGTTTTACATGAAAATGAAGTCAAGAACCATTATTGTTGTCTCATTCTGGGTCAGAGTTTGGCAGCTATGTGCAATAAAAGTTTATATAATTCAATTGATTTGGACGTATTTTCAATAGAAACATAAATCCTAATAACAAAATTAAAATCCTCATTTTCATTTTCTCAAAAATATTAGCTAATAATCTTGAGTAGGTAGGAAGACATGCAAACTACTGACTCAAGCCAATCATAAGGATGATTTTAAAAACTTGGAATTAACAAATATATAATTAACACAATATTTGCTCCAAGGGAGCAATGTATTCCTAAAAGAGTTGCCATATTCCAGGAACTTCTCCAGAATGTCTGGAGATTGCATGTCTCTAGCACTGTGCTGGTCACCTTACAACCACTAAAATGCAGCTCATTCTCTACACAGCTAATGTGTTATTTATAATTTAATAAATGTATTTATCAATTTAAAGTGAATTAATGTATTTCTATTAGTAAACAAGACATATTCAAAGTGAGTGTGCATACCTTATTTGCAGTTGTATATCTTTTTCATAAGATTTGAAAGGAACATTTGGCCCTGTTCACGATATAAATTTAAAACTGCATTTAAAGTATGGTATTTCAAAACCCATTTTTAATCACAAATTCCCACTTTATTGTATATGAACCATTAAATCAGTCTGTTTAAAAACTTACTTCAGAATCAAAAGGGAAGATTTAATTATCAGAGGTCAAGCAGTATCTCTCATTCCCTCTAGAAACACAGGAGTAAGTGATGAGAACAGAAGTGGTGAGTTCACTGTAATACCAGAAATTTATACCAGGAGTCACACATTGAGTGTGGCATTTAAAGATGGGCCTGGGCACAACTGTTTTACCCACAAATGCTGTAAGAGGCAGTTTTGATGCAACTTCCTGTGACAACTAGTATTTTAATTTAACCTGCTAAGAAATATTCACATACTTTTTATGATTTTTATTTTAGATAGAAGCATACATTTATGGATAGTACTTCCGAATTTCTAACTTCTTTTCTTGCACCAAATTAAAACTATATTGAAAATCCTTCCAGCATTAGAAAACTTCTAGTGACAGACTATCCTTATTGGCAAAGTGTACACACCAAAAAATAGCATGATTTAAGGATAAAAAATGGGATTTTATGTCTGAAGTAAATAGAACAAAATTAAAATGGAATTTGATATGAACAACTCTAGGAACAATAGCTGACTGCAAAGAAATATAAATATACCAAAATAAACCAGATAAAGCTTTTAATCCCATTATTTTAGTAAGCCGTGCAAAGGAAAATTAGTTATAAAAATTGACAGTAAACATTTTTTAAATCAATCTTTTGAGTACAGTAATTTTAAGCATAATTTTATTTAAAGAATTCTTTATTTTCATTCAAGACATAATATGCTTCAGTCCTGATATAGTACCTTAGATAGGCTCTAGACTGCAATAACAATACCGATGAGTTTAGAACCTGAAACCAGACATTTTTTTAAATTTACGAGACAACACACTGATTTCATTAATATCACATGTATTTTGTATAAGAAAGGATGCTGTTTGATGATGATTCCTTAATGCTTTACCAGCTGTGTATTTGACTTAAGTACATCTTGATGTAAAGTTACCTCTTTGCTGTGTGTATTGCAGAAACACCCCTGGACTGTGAGGTTTCACAATGGTCTTCCTGGGGCCTCTGCAGAGGGGTTTGCAGAGAAACAGGGACCAAGATCAGAACTCGTTTTGTACTTCTTCAGCCTGCCAATAATGGAATGCCTTGTCCCAACCTGGATGAAGAAACAGGATGTGAACCAGAAAATTGTGTCTGAAATAAAGGAAAGATGATAATTAAGATAATTTAAAAGTAGGATAAAATTAAATCTAAACTACAAGTCAATCAATGTTCTTTATAATTTGGATATGCTGCACTATTTTGCTGAAAAGCTGTATTAGAGTGGTTTTGAAAGTTTTTATTTAATATCAAGATTCTGGGGGGTTAAATTCCTAAAGTTTAGAATGCCAAAAGTACTGGATAAATTACAGGCCAAAAACCCCCAAATAAACCCTTCCTCCAAATACACTGTAAGTTCTTGGAGTACCCTCTAGTGGCAGAAAAGAAGACATTTCTAAGGATTGTGCTTCACACTTTTAACTTCACAGTAAAAATCTTTCAGTCACAGAATCTAAACTAATAACCTCCTTAAATATTGTAATTTGTTTATATACAGCTATTTATATCTAGAAAATAGGTTTTTTCCTCTAAATTATGTTTTTTATAATTTAT